TCTGATAATACTGGGAGGCCATCAAAATGTTTCTCTCTCGCTCATATTTACTGCCGGCCAGTTTGTACGAGAGTTCAACACCAAACACAAACACCATCAACACCTGAGACGTTTGTTTACAAAGACTGCAGCGCCAAAACTCCCCCCCCCCCTCCTTCTCTCTCTCGCTCTCTGACGTCACTAGAATTTGTTGGGATGCATAGTTATCAATTCTATAATTAGCTCCTCTCCCTGTGATGTCATGAGTATTTGCAGATCTCCATACTTTATAGTGCTGCATACTTAGCCCTTTCACCCCTCTTAAATCACTGATATTTGTAGCCGTTCACTTAGAAATATTGATATTCATCAGTCATCCTCTTCGAGAGTGCTTATGATATATATAGTGTCTCAGTATTATGTAACTACGCTGCAGCTGATAGGTAGGAAGTTATAGCTGCTCACAACTTATCTAACTGATTTGTTCCCATATTTCCTAACATAAACCATTGTAGCTGTTCGTGGGTCTTACCATCCAATGAAATCCGGCTTCCTTGCACCTCACCAGCTTCGGTATTTATAATCGTTTTAGCACTGAGTGACCTATACGAGTTCAAGGCTATTTCTGTAAATTTGATAATTTATGTTCGTTGCCATCTTCCTGTGCATGTCTCCTGCCCTTGCATTCGTCTGTATTTATCCTGGGATAATTTTTCTGTAAGGAATTCCGGCGATACTCTTAAGATACACATCGCACCTTTATGCTCACATCTGAGGTAGTCACAACATATAATGTCATCGTAAGATCAGACTTATAAAAAATGAATTTGAAGGTGCATCGAGAGGAAGGTGCTGGTGGAGAAATGAGAGAGATAGAGACAGGTGCTGGTGGAGAAATGAGAGAGAGAGAGAAAGGTAAATATACACAATTTGCTTCAGTAATCTTACGGTTGAGAGAGACAAACACAACCATTGCAGTCACAACACAGTGGTGGTGATGTATCACAGGAACGCACTACTGATGTTAGGTTAATATTTTCCAGATTAAATCGTTCATGTAAAAAAATGTTTTGTATAACAAGATGAGAAAAACCAAAACCTACTATTTATCCAGGAAGACGAAGATCTTTGTGGTAAACTAGGAGAAAGTGTTCTAGCTGGTCTGACAAAGTGACTCTCATGTCGAATACACATATATCAATATACAGACAAGAGGTAGACATTCTTTGCCTAATAACGGTTATACACATGTGCGGTAGATAGTTCACATTCAAGTAACGAACACCCATTTACCTAAATTGGGATACGCTTCTAGAGAGGACTACTTCTGGGGCTCGACTGACCTCTCACAGAATGTTATTAACATCTAAACGACTCAACTGAGAACTCACAGAAAGCCATAAACACATAAACATCAGTGAGGACCGACAGATTGCTATCAGCACTTTAAGGACTCCGGGTCTGATGACTTAGACAATACTTTACTGAGTTAATGTGAGGAATTTAAGGAACGGATCTTTGCTTCTCTTAAAGTCTTTCCTCCGAGATGGTTCTGTATATGGAAGTCTCGGGTCTAAGGTCTTCAAGAATGCTCAACTGAGACAATATGAGGAATTCAAAGAATGGGTCTTCATTTCTCTTCAAGTCCTTCCTCTGTGATGGTCCTGCACATTGGAATTCTCTGCATACGTTGGCGGTGCTCTGTGTGGGTAGAAAAATTTTTTTCGTGGATCTTTGGGTAGGACTCCAATGTTAGAGGTGGAATTCTCTTGTCTCAGTCACATTCTAGGACACGGCTGTCTGAGAGTGTCACAACTACACATCTGAATTTTCTACGAAAGAGCATTCAACATGTACACAACTGAACACTACACAGAACACGAGACAGTCATGCATACTACACAAGCTACTCTGAGACATCCTACCAAACAATTTTAACAATATCCAAAGGAAAAACGATAGCCGGGGAATAAAAAAAATATAGCAGGAAGTCACTACGAGAGACATTATTCACGTTGAAGTTCACTATTTATGACCACTCGCCCACCTAGCCTTTCCTACCCAGCATTCTTATGTTAAGTGGTATGTGGTGACTTTATGGCAGTGTGTGGAGGTACCATGAGATGGTAGGGTGTGTGACGGTACCATGAGATTGTAGGGTGTGTGGAGGTACCATGAGGTGGAAGGGTGTGTGAAGGTACCATGAGATTGTAGGGCTGTGTGGAAGTACTATGAGATGGCAGTTTGTGTGTGTAAGTACCATGAGATGGTAGTGTGTATTTGTGGAGGTACCATGATATGGGGATGTGTGTAAAAGCATCATGACTTAGTGTGAGGGACACCATGACTTAGTGTATGAGACACCGTGACTTATGGTCACGTCTGTCGAATAGGTAGTAAGTTGCCGGAAACGCTGCAGAGTTTTTGTGAGCTCGAAACTCAGGTTAGGTATGTAGAAGAGAGAAGATTATTGTTCTCGAGTAAGAGTGTACTTTAGACGAGCATCAGTGCTGTCTCCTCGGTTGTTTTGTGTATTTGAAGATTGAGCTATGAAACAAATGAAGATTTTTTTTAAATAAGATTAATAAAAATCTCCCTGGGGCTCCTCCCAAAAAAGTGGTATACAGTTACGGTTTAATCTCCTGTCCTTAACAAGTAGATGTAAACTAGCCAGATGATATCATGGTGCAACAATATATATATATAATATATTTTTATATATATATATATATATATATATATAAATATATAATATATATATATAATATATATATAATATATTATATATATATTATATATATATATATATATAAATATGTAGTGCCGAATAGGCAGAACTTGCGATCTTGGCTAAAATAGCAACGCTCATCTTGCCATATAGGACAAGTGAAAATTTGTGTATGTAATAATTTCGCCAAAATCATTCTGAACCTAAGGAAAAAAATATATTTCACTGTGTTTGTTTAGTATTAAATTATTGTAATCAAATCTAAAATATATTTAGTTGGGTTAGGCTAAAATAAATTGTTCTTGTTATAATAAGGTTAGGTAAGTTTTCTAAGATTCTTTTGGTGCAAAATTATAAATTTTTACATTAATATTAATGAAAAAAATATATCTTTAAACATATAAGAGGAAATTTTAGAAAGAACTTAATTTTAAATGAGTTCTTGCTAATTGACCAGTTTTTACATATTCGGCACGACATATATATATATATATATATATATGTATAAATAGCATATTATCTTCTAATAGCAATATCTTATATAGGAAATGTGAGAATTTGAGTGTGTTTTGTGCTTGTGTGTATATGTCCTGTGTTTGTTGTATAAAATTGTAAAAAATTCAAAGGTTTTAGGCAAAAAATTTCGCTGTTAATAAGCTTGGTAGTGTTTTAATCCTTTGTGCATAAATCTTACAATGAAACAACAACTCGTTAGAGAAAATTTCCGACTATTTCGATGTTGCTAAACCCCGTTTAAGATAATTTCGGCAGGACATATTATATTACTATATACTAATATTAGTATTGAAAAATTAACTTTTGCTTTTATAGAAGTCACTAAATAATTTGTCTAGAGTCACCGGTGTGGGATCATCATTTGTGGTGTGTTGTGTCAATATCAATGTGAAGATTGTGTGTATTGTGTTTTTTTTTTTTTTTTGGAGGGCTTGGTATTAATCGTACTGATGTTGGGTCATTCACCAAAACATTATCCAACTAGAATTGCCCAGGGTACAAAACCAAAAAAACACCAATTATTCAAACAACAATAAGACCCAAAAAAACCAATTCAGTTAAATAATTTTTTAAAAACCCACCCAACTCCCCCTCCTGAAAAAAAAAAAAAAAAAAAAGGAAGGTTTATGTATGTAATATTACGGTCCTCACAATACCCCCTCCCTTCCCCCCGTCTTACTAAGAAATATATATCACCATTAATCCTCTGCTTAAATTAATAGCAAAGTCAACTGGACCAAAATCAATCTTTCACCTGACAGTCAACGAGACAGCATCACAAATTACACAAACACAAATGGATCTAAACACGAGTCCTTTCCTGCAACAGTTTCTATCACTGTCTCCTCAGCAAGTGGAGCTGATGTATTGATTTAATAAATTTATATTGTATGATAAACTTAATTACATGTAAAGTTATGAGAATAAATTTCACTCATGTCTACGTATGTTGACAAGAACGTTAAGTTGCAAGTTCCTCTGGTTGTTTAGCATACACTCAGATCATCAAACTCGTAAATAATGTAATGACCATTATGGTCTCATGATCACAGTGAGAGATATAACCGAGCAACAGAACATAAATCTATATTAAAATCAAAGGGGCATTATTCATATAGCTACGATATTAGAAACTCTTACGATAATGTCCTAAACGTGTTGTCAACATGCACGAAATTTTTTGTCAAATGACAAACTTGTAAGTAATATATAGTAAGCAAGTGTACACCTGTTAAAGTCTTTTATGATCTAATTCCCTGGCATCTATACATTCTAATATAAACTCTCGCGCTACCGTCCACAGCGTAGATATACGCTGTATAATATACTAGCCACTACCGTCCACAGCATGAATGTTGAGTATACAGTAAAGTAGGTTTATCGGCTGTAAACCATAAATTAATTTCAGATACTTGACACAGTTAAGTTTATTTTTTAGCAAAATTGTTAATTTGCTTATGTTGAAATGTGTTTATTCTCATAAATAAACTTTGTTGAGGGTTATGAAGGATTGTGGTGAGGGAGTACTGGTGAAAGAGGTGATGTTAGTGGTGGTGGTGATTTTTGTGGGTACTTGGTGGTGGTGGTGGTGGTGGTGGTGGTGGTGGTGGTGGTGGTGGGTGTGTGGTGGGGGTGGTGAAAGGTTGCTGGTACTTGAGGTCTGGGTGTTGATGTTGATGATGGGTGTGGCACTTCTCTTCTCGTCTCCCCCACCTCCTTTAACCCTCCTCTTCCCTCTCCCACCCACTCCAACTCCTCCTCTTAAACGGCCCTGGCACCATACCTTGCCCGTGGCACTCTCTCTCACACACACACACACCCCACCCACCACTGTTGGTGCCCTCAGCTTCACCCTCTGCCGGAGTCAGTCCCCAGCAGGTCGTGGTGGTGACCAGGTTGTCTCTCCCAGCCTCTTCTAGCATCAACAAACATGCCGGTAAGTGCCATACAGTGACACTGGCCTTGGCTCTCAGCATACAGGTGCCACCTTAGCAGCAGCAGCGCGGCCCTGACCGTGGCATTGGCATTAATAGACTTTAGTGGCACTGTATCTCACTGTATCTCACCTTAATAAAATGTAGCTCTATCTAAAGAACTCAAAATCTACGTTTCCTTTACGAGGATAAAAGCAATGGCGAGAGGGCTTTTGAACAGGGTCCTAGAGCTGCAGCTCAGCCATCACTCAGCACCAGTGAGTGCACAAAACGAACCTAAACTTTGAATCCAGTCGACTACACAATCTTCAGAATATACACGAAGAGCATCACCGCGCTTTCGTGAACAATTCCTGGGTTCTAGTGAAGGACTCACGATCCTCAAAACACTGGAGCCACCCCTTCCCTTCTTTGGATCAACCCTGATTACCTCCCATTCCTTCCGGATTTAGTAGTTCAATATAATAATAATAATAATAATAATAATAATAATAATAATAATAATAATAATAATAATAATAATAATAATAATAATAATAATAATAATAATAATAACGTCAAATCATAAAGGTTCATTCACATGGAAGTAAGGGAAGTGGAACAGAGCGTTGAGAAACACGAGTCTGGGAAGAAATCTTGGATATGTATACATAAGGAGGTCATGGAATTACGATCGTGCATAGAGAGAGGGAGAGAAATACAATGGACACTGATATAGCACAATATGACAGCCATGTCAATAGTTGCTACGGTGACAACTTTGCAAGCGGGAGTTGGTTGAGGTGTTGCTGCTGTGTTTGAGGTGTTGCTGAGAGAGCTGTTGCTCTCTCAAATACAAGACATTGCCCATGTTGTTTGGGTCGTGTCTTGTATTTGAGAGAGAGAGAGAGAGAGAGAGAGAGAGGAGAGAGAGAGAGAGAGAGAGAGAGAGAGAGAGAGAGAGAGAGAGAGAGAAAGAGAGAGAGAAAGGAGTACAAGAGGATATCGCTTATTATTTAAATACTCCTCCTTCAATATAACTGTCAAGAATTTTGATGATCGTGTATCGTTTAGCCGATATTTCCCACCAAGAAATTTCGCTGTCTTCAGTTTGTACAGTACTTCGTCCGTTATCTTCCGCCGATGTATTCCCCCTGGGTTTCCGTGAATTTGTTTCACTAGCGTACTGTCTTCCGCGAAGGTAGTCTGCATGAAGACGCGCTAGACAGCACAGCATGATAGTATCTATGGATTTTTTTTTACCTCTTTTCTCTATTCTGTTTTTTTTTTCTTTTCTTACGTTAAAAGTGGGTTGGAAAAATATATGAGCGAGAAGGGTTGGGATGTGAGAAGAACGTGCCTAGCATGGGCCAGTAAGCCTGCGACAGTGTTCCATTCGTATGTCTTTATGGGTGAAAGGACACATAGGACGTCTTTACTGAAAGCGTTTCGGTCTTGGGACTTCGGTCTCAGGGGCGAAACGTAGAAGTTGCAACACCGTGTTCCATCTTCTACTTTCATTTATGTTCTTATACATAAATAACCCGCACCTAGGAGAGAGAAGCTTATGTGACTTGTAAATGGTCCAACTTAGACCCGTCTCTTTCTATGTGAAGGGTCATCTGTGTATTGTTCCTGTCACGTTACTGTGCCCTTTTTTTTGTTCATGCTCTTATGGTAAAACTACACTGCGAGAAAAGATGGCACATGCATTCGTTGCTAGAACAGGTGCAGCACCGAACACCTGGTTGTAAATTCGACCACGCCCACTTCCAGGTAGAGGTGCGCCAGAGGTCGACAGATGGCACCTACCCTCCAATATTTTTTTGTTTACGGACTTGCATTCATTTCCTCTTTGGCAAGTGGCACTGATGGTGCTGCCAACTCTGCCGCTCTCCCACGCCCGCCCCTCCGCTTCACTCTTTGCTGAAGTGGGGAAGTCCGATTCTTGTAATAGGGTGGGGCATGTAGAGATGGGTAGGGGAGAAGTGTTGGAGAGACAGTGGGGGAGGAGAGAGAAGAGAATCATTAGGTACGAGAGGATAGAGGAGCTTAGATCCGGGTCGAGATGGGTTGGGAACAGCAAACAAGACTTTTTTGAAGTTAATAGTCTGGGTTAATAACCCAGAATAACCCCAAGAATTGTGGCATATACCCTAGGACGCAACCCACAACAGTTGACACACAGGTACCTAATTACTTGCTTGGTGAACATGGACATCTGGTGTTAGGAATTTATTTCAGACTTGCCTCACCTGCGACTGAACCCGCGACTGAGGTACCCTACAGAAGTACCCCACAAAGGTACCATACAGGGGTACCCCACAAAGGTACCCTACTGAGGTACCCCACAAAGGTACCCTACTGAGGTATCCTACTAGCAGCAGCAGAGGGTAGGAAAGGGTATAGAAACTTACATCTAAAAACCTTGCTGGCCTCCCTGGAGGTAAACAGAGTTCAGTGAGACACATTGCATTTCGAAGGTATGTAGCACCTATACTTACGCAACGTTTCGCTCCTCCCCACCCTGTTGGCCGAAACGTTATCGTAATACGTTTATCTAGCGTTGTATATGTGTCTGGACACACCTTCTCGATGAAATCATTATTAGAAGCCCTTACTAAACCAGCTAGACCATCCATACGCTCATCCATCCTGCCATGCAACCATCCATCAGCTCATCCACCCTTTAATTCAACTGTTCATTTACTCAGTTATCCAAGCGTCTACCCATCAATTCATCCACTAGTCCATCCAGCCATCAATCTTCCCATGCACTCAGACCCTCCATTCATCCATCCCTTCATCCATGACTTAGGGGTAATGGATGCATACAGGAGACACTTTTCCTGCCATTAAATTTTCGCTCCCCTCTCTCGCCCATTAAATCCCCTCTTACTTTCCCCTCATGTACACACACACACACACACACACACACCACACACACACACACACACACAACACACACACACACACACACACACACACACACAAGGACTCCATCAGTCACTATCTAAGATAACAGAAGAGGTATTTCTCCTGTTTAAAATACAAAACTTAAGAACTTGATCTTTCACATTAGCCTAGAAATTTGCATAAACCAACCATTATATCCGGCAAAAGCAACCACAGCATCAAAATGAAAACAAACACAGCCCAAACACCATAGAATTTGATATTATTGAGACCCCTCGTGTCAAAATAATCTGTTAAAAAAAAGTAAAAATAATTGAAATATATCGAAAAATAATTGGAAATAGATTGAGAAATAATGAAATATGTAGATCAGAATAGTAACAAAAAAGGTCACAATATATAAAGAAATAAAAGGCAAGTGAAAGGAACGATTACAAGATAAATAAGAAATATCAGAAAATGCTTCCAGAAATATTGAAATGGAAAGAAGAGAGAACAACAACAACAACAACAACAAAATATATAACTATCAGAACTAGCGTAATAAAAAGGGAATTTAAAATAACCCCCAAAAATAAGGGAAAACTGTTGATATAGACTAACTTACGTATTTAAAGAGAATAAAAATAAGTAAGTGAATGGAAGAAAGATGGAAAAAATAGGATAAATGGATGTATAGCACTAGAGGCATTATGGTTTTAATTATATATATGATGAGGGGTAACTTTAATTTATATTTTAGGTGTTAAAGTATTTTTGACTGGTGGTAAACTGGTGGTTTGGAGTCTAAATGACCCTCATGTAGCCACTTTCACTTCTAACTCTCTTATGGTTTCCTTGCTCTCACCTTAGACTCTTAAACTCCCTCAGTCACCTTAGACTCTTAAACTCCCTCAGTCACCTTAGACTCTTAAACTCCCTCAGTCACCTTAGACTCTTAAACTCCCTCAGTCACCTTAGACTCTTACACTCCCTCAGTCACTTTAGACTCTTACACTCCCTCATCACCTTAGACTCTTAAACTCCCTCAGTCACCTTAGACTCTTAAACTCCCTCAGTCACCTTAGACTCTTACACTCCCTCAGTCACCTTAGACTCTTACACTCCCTCAGTCACCTTAGACTCTTACACTCCCTCAGTCACTTTAGACTCTTACACTCCCTCAGTCACCTTAGACTCTTAAACTCCCTCAGTCACCTTAGACTCTTAAACTCCCTCAGTCACCTTAGACTCTTACACTCCCTCAGTCACCTTAGACTCTTACACTCCCTCAGTCACCTTAGACTCTTACACTCCCTCAGTCACCTTAGACTCTTAAACTCCCTCAGTCACCTTAGACTCTTACACTCCCTCAGTCACCTTAGACTCTTAAACTCCCTCAGTCACTTTAGACTCTTGCACTCCCTCAGTCACTTTAGACTCTTACACTCCCTCAGTCACCTTAGACTCTTAAACTCCCTCAGTCACCTTAGACTCTTACACTCCCTCAGTCACTTTAGACTCTTACACTCCCTCAGTCACCTTAGACTCTTACACTCCCTCAGTCACTTTAGACTCTTACACTCCTCAGTCACCTTAGACTCTTAAAACTCCCTCAGTCACCTTAGGCTCTTACACTCCCTCAGTCACCTTAGACTCTTACACTCCCTCAGTCACCTTAGACTCTTACACTCCCTCAGTCACCTTAGACTCTTAAACTCCCTCAGTCACCTTAGACTCTTACACTCCCTCAGTCACTTTAGACTCTTACACTCCCTCAGTCACCTTAGACTCTTACACTCCCTCAGTCACCTTAGACTCTTACACTCCCTCAGTCACCTTAGACTCTTAAACTCCCCTCAGTCACCTTAGACTCTTACACTCCCTCAGTCACCTTAGACTCTTACACTCCCTCAGTCACCTTAGACTCTTACACTCCCTCAGTCACCTTAGACTCTTAAACTCCCTCAGTCACCTAGACTCTTACACTCCCTCAGTCACCTTAGACTCTTACACTCCCTCAGTCACCTTAGACTCTTACACTCCCTCAGTCACCTTAGACTCTTAAACTCCCTCAGTCACCTTAGACCTTACACTCCCTCAGTCACTTTAGACTCTTACACTCCCT